TCATTGATTAGCATTATTTCACAACGTGGTTTCCATATTTCTTCTAAAATTTCTTTTTGAAGTTCATTGACAAAATTAGTTATAATTTCTTTAGTGTGCATTCTATTATTGAGAAATTTATTGATTGAGTCAGATAAAAATTTTGGAACAATGCCTTTGATTAAATCAATTGCTGTTAAAGATGCATTATTCTGATTGTTAAACCACAGGTGATCATGTTCCAAATCTTTTGATGACAATTTTTTTCCTTTATTCTTTTATGACATATCTAATTTGTGTTGGTCAAAGACATCCACACAAATTTCTGATATCTCGAAATACTGGTAACATTTGGTCCAGTGAATTAATTCCGAGTAAGTTATAAAATCATCTATGTTTTTATTAATAGCATTCAATTTATTTCATCTAATTTAAAAATTTTTAATTAGGTTTTGCACAAGGAGCTCCAATGTTTCAAAACCAGGAACCTGTTCCTTTCCGGTTTACTCGCAGTATACAACAATTTATGACTCCAATTGGTATAGAAGGAATTTTTTCTTCAGGTATGTCTAATTGTTTGGCAAGGTATTTCGTACTGTTTTTAATTAGCTATTCAATCTTTTTATTATTAGCAATGCTTGCTATTGGTCGATGCTTGACTGAACCAGAGGTATAAAAATTTTTTTTGAATAATCTCTTGTATTTCTATATTTTTAAAAGTTAAAGCTTTTTGTATAATATAGTTTGATTTAGGCCAATACTTGAGTATTTTTATTCGTGATGAGTTAATCACATGGCATTATATAAGTCAAAAACACCCTAATGATCAACTGCTTCGACAGAAAGTCTTAGAAACTGTTGATCAAGTTGTTAATAAGGCAAAGATGATTGGGAATATTGATAGTAATTGTGATAAGGTAATTTAATTGATTAGTTCTTTTTGTGTATTGCTATTTGGTTGATTGATTTATCATTCCAATATTGTTTTTATCTATTCTGGCATCAGAATGGTAATAGGTCAATGTATAGCTCAATTTCGGACTTAATAGCAATGGCAAGTAACCCACAAAATTTAGCAAATATGGAGGTAAGAAAATTTTATTATCAATATGATTAAATTTTGATAAGCCATATTAAATTTTTTCATATTATCCAGGTTATATGGATGCAATGGTTATAACAATTTAAATAATTTAATGTGTACAACAACCATATAAAATATAAATAAAAATTCAAATCAAACTATTATAATGATCGAGTCTATCCTTAAAACGGAAACATTATAAAGACGTTTACTTTCATGTGATAATAATAATAATTAAATTAAATGTGATTTAATCAAATTTCGTTTTAAAATTAAAAAAGTTCTCAATTTTGTATGCACAACTATAAGGATCTAAAACTAAAAAATGACCTTTTTTATGTAGTATTTTGAAAAACTATGTTCCAATATTCTTCTTCCCATGTACTGTATATAAAATCAACTCATCTATAAATATTATTAAAATCATGATTTTAGTCAAATTTGGAAATCGTCTCTACGAATGAGTTCCCCCCGTTATTATTATGTTATCAGTCACAGGACATTGCAGATCAATCATCATATAAAGACATCAAAAAAAAAAGTGCAACTTCAAACTACTAAGGAAAAAAATCACTATTTTTGCAATCTTTAGAACCTGAGCAACAATGAATTAGAGAATTTATTAGTTTGAAGTTGCACAATTTTACTTTTTTTTTTCCAAGTTAAAGTTTATTTTTATTAGAGTATATTGTGTAAAATACAATAATAAGATACAAACAATTTAATAATAAAAATAAAGCTACTGCCTCTGCTACTATGAATCCAAAAAAAAATTGGAGTGCACGAGACCAACTTGCCATTTAGTAACTCAAAAATCGAACCAACTAGGCCTATTTAAAGTTAATGCTTACGCACCTAACTGGTATTCTCAATTCAATGGCTATTACTATAAAATCCAACCAATTGCCTCCAAATCTAATTGAATGTAATATCCCCCTTTTACCCAATTCTAGATTGTCATTAAGGATATTATGATTATTAGATATTGTAAATACAAATTGTTCATCAATTGGCATTATTTCACAGCACGGTTTCCATATTTCTTCTAAAATTTCTTTTTGAAGTTCATTGACAAAATTAGTTAGTGAAGTTGCACCATTTCAATTTTACAGTGCAAATCGTCTATACTCAAAATTATGAAAACCTAAATATCGTGTGATCCACTTGTCAGATTTTAATGAAAATATTACCATTCAAATCAGCTTTAAAAAAGGAATCGATTTATAACATAAAAAAATTTAGTCTCATTTTTTAGTCGAAGATCTTTCTTAATTTGGAAAACAATAAATTTAAAAGTTTCAAAACAAGAAATTAGATTAAAATAAAAGAATACTTAAATTTTAATTTCATCATACACAGAATCAGGAACTCTACTGTGTGATCTATACTTTTTCACTGCAAACTCAGCTAATCTTCCTGAAATTCCTTTCTATAAACATTCATATATCTCCAGCTTTTTTGTGCATAACAACGAATTGTTGTCAAGGATACTGAGTTTAATGCTTCTGGTACAACTATTTGTAAACTTGACCACTTATAATCTCAATTCTTTCTTGTATAATGTTTTGCAGCTCCCAAAATATCTCAACAAAATTGAGTTCACAATGAAATTTTGGATAAAATATACATTTATGACTTCTTTTTTCAATTTCCTCTTGAAGAGTTGATTTTTGTGATAAAAAATCAGGTTGTAATGCTATAATGCGTCTCATGCAACAATCTACTCTTTTCAAATCAATTATTTTGGTATTTTTTCCTTTACATAATTTGCAGTCAGCAACTAACCCATCTATCCATAACCCTCTTTCTTTTAAAATTTCACACATTCCTTTAGGTAAATTTGGATGAGTTGAATGATTAGCAGAAAAAATCATATCTGTGGAGTATTATTTGCTCCATAAAATGTTGAACACATGCAAGGTTGTTTACCTCCAGGTTTGGCATTCATGTGTGCAGCATTCAATCCATCTTTTGGCAAGGATCCATGATTGGTGCTATTATCAAATGCAAAGACAGCAATTGCTTCAAGATGAATTGTTTCAAATATTGGTATAGCATACTCAATTACTTGGTCTAACAATTGGTCAGCTGTCCACCAACCCTCTTCATTTTTTCCAGGTTTTAAAATTTTTCTAGCTTCTTTTGGAATATTTGGATTTGCCAATTCTTGTTCTGGTGTTAATTTTAAACATCCAACTGTCATCAATACAAAAAAAATTTCTGCTTATGAGCGTAGTCTTAACTATACAATAGCTGACTTATATGGAAAAGCAAAATTTGTCATGGAAGTTAATCTAGGTATAATTAAACCAAGCTTTCATATGCCTACTAGAAGACAACCAGATAATAATCTCATTATAAAATTTGTGGACAATCCAATTATACAAAATCAATTACTACAGCACCAAATAATTCTAGAACCTTATAAAACCCTGGAATTTTATAAGATGATTCTTTGACAAATTTGGGAACACATGATATATCTATGGTCTGTGCTTATATACAAACACATACAGCAGCACCACAATTACAATTTACTGCAAGTTTAAGGTCTTGGCCCTCAGCAGCAAGATCTGAACTAATAGCAGTGGTAGCAGTACTATTAGTCTCTCCTCCAAATGCAAATATTAGAATTTATACTGATAGTAAATGTACTATTGATCAATATGAACAATTAACTTCTACAACTTCTTCTACATCTCCTCGCAATATTTTTAAACAACACAACACATTGTTTGGATTATACTTCATGAAATTTTAGAAATAAAAAAAATTGATATTAGCTTTATTAAGGTCAAAGCACACAATGGAAATCATTTTAATGAAATGGTAGATTCATTGGCCAAAAATGCACACACACATGATTTCCCTCCTTTTTCAATTACAACTGAATTTTTACAATCATTAAGATATATACCTAAATGGAATAATATTATCATAGAACAACATTTATGACACCTTATTACAAATATTTCATACAATGGGGGATTTGAAACCTGGCTAAATTTATATAGAAACAAAAAATATCACCAAACTTTAATAGATTGGGAACTGACTTTTGGAATTCTCAACACCTTTGAAACATCAACAGAAACATCATTTACTGCTTCAAACAAGAAAATTTCAAAAATTAAGTTATTAATTGAAGAACTTCCAACAGTTGAACACATCAAAAAATGAAGACCAGATCTATATAACAATTGGAAGTGTCCTTTATGTAAGAACCAACTTGAATCATTTGAACATATTTGGAACTGTACACAAAATGTACAAAAAATTAAAGAAATATTATATAATGCAAAAAGCAAACTTATAAAAAATGTCCAAAAAAAGAATAAAGGAAAAAAATTGTCATCAAAAGATTTGGAACATGATCACCTGTGGTTTAACAATCAGAATAATGCATCTTAACAGTGATCGATTTAATCAATGGCATTGTTCCAAAAATTTTATCTGACCAAATCAATAAATTTCTCAATAATAGAATGCACACTAAAAAAATTATAACTAATTTTGTCAATGAACTTCAAAAAGAAATTTTAGAAGAAATATGGAAACCACGTTGTGAAATAATGCTAATCAATGAACATTCTGCTGGTATAGATAGAAAGCAAAAAATAAAAAGAAACCATTAAATTATGTATCTACAATATCTAATGATCATAATATCCTTAATGACAATTTAGAATTGGATAAAAGGGGATATTACATTCAATTAGATTTGGAGGCAAGTGGTTGGATTTTATAGTAATAGTTAACTAGCCATTGAATTGAGAATAACAGTTAGGTGCATAGGCATTAACTTTAAGTAGGCCTAGCTGTTTCGATTTTTGAGTTACTAAATGGCAAGTTGGTCCCATGCACTCCAGGGGGTTTTTTTCTTTGGATTAATAGTAGCAGGGGCAGTAGTTTTATTTTTTTATTTAATTGTTTGTATTTTATTATTATATTTTACACAATTATACTTTAATAAAAATAAACTTCAACTTGGGAAAAAAAAAAAAAAAAAAAGAATAAATAACTTAATTTGTAAAATGTTACCCACAAAGAAAATCGATATATTATATGAGTGAAGAAAGACAGTATTTTAAATTAGCATTAAAGATAGCTCTTCAATAATTGCGACTAGTTGCGACTGATTGCGGCATATAAAAATTGAATTGCGGCTAATTGTAGTTCCCATATTTAGTGCTCATGTGATATTTGCTTCAACATTATCTCTTTCGCCAGCATAAAGTTTGGTGTCTGCAACTGATTTGAAATTCAAAAACTCAATTTGGTTAGCCCCGGGTATTTAGTTCTGCCAGACAAAAGCTCAGACCTAGTATAGGGATATATTTGGATCTGGACAATAGAAACGGACCACGTTGTTTTTTTAAAAAAAAGATCTGGATTTCAAATAATTTATTATTGTTTTTAAACTTTTGTGTAAAATTTTATTAAACTGTGGGTATAGTTTCTAAGCCAAAAATGTTTCTACATGAGGAGTTACATGTAGCAGTGATATTAACTCAAAATTCACAACATGGTACATTTCTATTGTCCACGCCACATTTGGGCAAAAGTCCAAGTTCCCTATTCCATTTAGGAAAATAACTAATTTACATGGGACAAACAAAATTTGAACTATTTTATGGCTTTCCTCTTAACTCCAGAACGTAAATGCAATCCCAAAAAAAAGTTCAGAGCCTCCAATCCCACTCTGAATTGCAATCTCCTGAGGTTGAAACGAGTTGAAAATTCCTAATATCGCAACTCTTCAGAATTCTGCAACCTCCCGGTCTCAATCACAGTGCCATCTTTATCTAGAAGTCAGGCAATTTGTTAGCCCTCCATGGTCAGATGCTGTGAGGGAAGATCAGGAATCACAGAAATGTCCTTGAAACAAAGATTGAGAACGATTGTAATATTTTAAATAAAGTAGTGTAGTCCAACATTCTCAATTTCCGATAATCAAATGTTGCATATCGAACTGTTTTTCAAATCGTCTAGAACAGTTTTCTCTTTTCAATAGTCGTATCGCATTTCCAACCCTTGACATTTTTTTATTATTATAATTTTATATACTTAATATTAATAACGGCTGTGAATACCAATCAATTATTACGATAAAGAATCTTATAATAATTACCCAAAGACATGACAGATTCCGCTTCACATCTTGATTTCAATTATAATAAGATATTTATAAAAAATAAATAAAGACATCAATGCAAAAAAAAGTGCCTCTGGTTGTTAATAAATAATTCATCTTCCTTTAGAACTAATCATACCAAATAAAGATACTTCAAGCATGTTTCTCAATGAATTCCTGGCTCCCTCCCTTCCTTTCTTTGTTGTTTTTTTTCCAAAAACACAACATCATGTAATGTAACATCGGGGATCAAATACACATTGTATGTACAGTATCAGTCACAGGACATGTCACGCAGATCAATAGGGAGTTGTAAAACATAGTAAATTTTTGGTGATCTGCATCATAG